TTCCTGTAGTTACATGTTCAAAATTCAGACGCTTGGCAACTGGCTCGTATTTATGACGATTGCAGTGTCCCAGGGTGTCACCTGATCCCCTTTTGCGACCTTCTGATAAGCAAAGCCAGCGGGGAAAACCAGGTTCACATTACAACCGTGTTATTAACTTCACAATGCAGTGATTCACTTAACGATTGCGACAAGAAAAGGTCATAAAACAGGACTCACTTCAACAAGTGTCTCGCTTAGCAACAGAAATGTTGGGCTGTAGGTCCAACATTTTGGCTGTAAGTCAAGAACTACCTCTATAGTGTTTCTGTTCGGCGGCCAAGAATCAAACCTAAGTGTGTAGAATTGCTTGGAGTTCTGTTTGAAAGAAGGCTGTATAGAAAAATGTCTCCAGGCCTTCTAAAATATAATTACAGATGTGTGTACAAGGAAGTAAAATGAGCACATGGCTTAACAGCTCTGCTCCTTTTTTTAGCCCTGGAGCAAAACGTTTAGCAAGTCTTTAGTAAATTACCATCTGTATATCAACCTGGCGTTCCCGGCTTGCCAATTTTGTTTTACTGTCCGAGGTATCCTACAGAGCATTGGACAAGATTATTTTGTGTTTTAAATTGGGAACACGGCCAGAAAAGAGAATTTCATCTGTCCCCTCCCCCCCCTCTGTTTTTTTTTAATTTGCTAGAAGTGGAAATTATTCTTTGGCTCTAAAAAGGAGTTGAGCTTTAAAATTCCGCTTTGGCATCCTGTTGATGACAATGGCTGTCCTTTCCCTTTCTCTCTTTTTTTCTTTTTTCCCTTTTGCTTCCCCCTCCCCCCCTCAAGTTTCTGTTTGAATAGCTCAGGGAGTGTTGTTTGCAGAGGAGAGACCCAGAAAGCATTCATGAGCTTGGCTAGTGCGAAAAAAGATGGATGGAGGATTGTGGGTTCTACTCAGTGGTGGGATTCAGCTGATTCGGGCCGGTTTGTGCGAACTGGTTGTAAAATTACTGGCTGGCCACACCCCTCCAGGCCTCGCCCCTTACAAGAGTTACCACATGCCCCATTTTTGCTCCCAGGAGGCTGCAGAGAGACATACTAGGCCCAAAATGGGACACGAGGGTGCAGCATAGCCCCCACAGCCCATATTTGCTCCCAGGAGGCTGCAGGGCGGCCTACTAGGCCCAAAACGGGGCATGGGGGTGTGGCGCGGCTCCCCTCTCAGCCATATTTTGCTCTCAGGAGGCTGCAGGGCGGCCTACTAGGCCCAAAATGGGGTGCAGGGGTGCAGCACAGCACCCCGCAGCCCGTTTTTGCTCCCAGGGCGATGCAGGAGGCACCGCCCTGGGAGCAAACCACAACCACTGGCCACTCCCACTATGGCCACACCCACCCAGTTGGACATTAGGGCAGAGAACCGGTTGTTAAATTATTTGAATCCCACCACTGGTTCTACTGGACCACTGATTCAGATATCATTTGGGCCCTGATGCTGCTAAAACCAGATCTGAGCTTGGAAAAGAAAGAGAAATCGCAACCAGGTTCAAAAATGAACCAATCTTTATTTCTATTTCACATGCTAAAGGCATTAATTAAATCATCTGTAGCCCTCAGGCCAATAAGCAGCGGGGCAGTTTACCACCAATTTTGGATTGAAAACAATCCTATAAACCAGGGATTTCCAACCCTGGCACCTTATGACTTGTGGACTTGGTAACTTTACAACTTGTGGACTTCAGCTCCCAGAATTCCTCAGCTGAAATTGAAGTTCCACAAGTCATAAAGTTGCCAACGTTGGAAGACCCCTGCTGTAAACCACTGGATTTGCTTCACATTTTTTAATAACGGTCTCTGCCTTCAATAGCTTTCCTGAAAACAGAATCCGGATCCCTTGTGTGAGGTCATCAAATCACTGCCTTGCACTCTCTTCCCAAATTGCAACCCCTCTGGTTGTTAGAAATCATGAATTTGGCTTAGTAGCAAACAGCATGCTTACTTAATATTAATAGAACACACCTGGAGAAAATAGAAAGATTACCATAGATGCCTGTATCTCACTTGCAAAATTCTGCATAACCATTAGGTGAAGGCAAGAGATTCTGGAATTCTAATCCTTTGCTGCCATCTATTGTTCACCCAGAATCTTACCTAACATTCTAACCACATCTTCTCCAAATGTGTTGGGAATACAATTTCAAGAATTTCTGTCTGATTGAAGATTGAACTGGTGGACAGTTCCAGCAGAGGTGATATTCAGCCGGTTCGGACTAGTTCAGGTGAACCGGTAGTGCCGATGATCAGTTGGAGCTGCCCTCCCGTTCCCGGTCTATCCTGTCCTTTATTTCCTGCTTTGTGGCTCATCTCAACCGTGTGGCACAGCTGATTTCCCCCCCCCCTCACTGTTTTACTTACCGTTGCTGACTTGGAAGGTAAGCAGCTGAGCTTCTAAATGCTCCATTTTCAGCACTTTGTGCAAGCGCCTTAGGCATGCGCACATGCGCTCACCGAACCAGTTGTTAAACCGGCAGCATCCCACCACTGAGTTCCAGATGTTTCAGATAGAAAACCTGCTAGGAAATAGCGGGTTTTCCAGACATACCTGTATCTCATCCGCAAAATTTTGCATAACCACTAGGTGAAGGACAGAAATACTGGAAATCTAATTCTTTGCTGCCATCTAGTGTTCAGCCAGAATCTTTACAGCTCAGAATTGTAGTCCTAAATAGTGAAAAGATCTATCTTGGAGCTAAATTAAAAGAAATTATGGGATTGTGCCCATCATTTTTCACTGAATCTCCTTTGGAAATGTGTAAAATAGATTGAGTCATTCTTCTTCTAATCTCAACTATCCATAACTGCTTTCCATGACAAAAATTAAATGAAGCTACAATATTCAATATTCAAGGGACACGGTGGCTCAGTGGCTAAGAAGCTGAGCTTGTCAATCAGAAGGTCGGCAGTTCAGCAGTTCAAATCCCTAGCGTCGCGTGACAGAGTGAGCTCCCGTTACTTGTCCCAGCTTCTGTCAACCTAGCAGTTCGAAAGCACATAAAAAAATGCAAGTAGAAAAATAGGGACCACCTTTGGTGGGGAAGTAACAGCATTCCGTGCACCTTTGGCTTTTAGTCATGCCGGCCACATGACCACAGAGATGTCTTCGGACAGCTCTTCAGCATAGAAACAGAGATGAGCACCGCCTCCTCGAGCCGGAAATGATTAGCACGCATGTGCAGGAGAACCTTTATCTTTACCTTTTACAATATTCATATTGTTCCTGAATCTAACCAAATATTGGAAAGGTGAGGTTCGCTATAGTTCACTAACTATAATTCATTCAAGTTCAGATCTCTTCTCTTGAAGGAGGTGGGTGAGCTAGAAATACGACATATAAATAAATAAATAAATAATATAAATCAATACATTTTGCTATCTGCTAAATCCAGTATGGTTAATCTTTTTATGTTCCTTGTTCCTCTTTAATAACAGGCAATTTATTCTATGGCTCAGTTAATAAGTACCTTAAGATAAATGACTTAGAACACCAGATTCTTCTTGGATAATCTATGCATTACCATTTTTAAAAGTTACATATGTAAATCTTATCTCAGAGAAGCAGAATAATTTTTTAAAACCTACACCTCTGGAAAAAAACAACAACCAGCAAATTGATTTGACTTTTTCTCTGGGTATGAGAAAGGAAACCTTGTTTAATGAGAATAAAAATTACCCTGTCAATAAAGCTGAATCAATATTTGCTGAAGGAGTTCACCAGACGGCAACCTGCTGTAACGTTGATATTTAAAATGTTTCGCATGTTCAGGAGGAAATGTATGTTATGCACACATGTAATCTAAATCTGTGGTAGGCCTATCTCTCTCAGGATTAAATATATGTCCACTGTGTACAGAAAGATTTTAATAGAATTAAAAGCTGTTTTTCTTCTTTAAAGTCATATATAAATGTGTATTTCCCATTACTTATTTTAAAAAATGTTTGAATTTCCTAAACAGGATATAAACTGCTCCTTTTCTTGGAAAAAGGAGACTTTTTTTACATTGCCTCTGAAATATTCAGACTTTACACTGAAGATACTAGTTATATTAGAATATAATGGAATGGAATGGAATGGAATGGAATGGAATGGAATAGAATAGAATAGAATAGAATAGAATAGAATAGAATAGAATAGAATAGAATAGAATAGAATAGAATAGAATAGAATTCTTTATTGGCCAAGTGTGATTGGACACACAAGGAATTTGTCTTGGTTGGTGCATATACTTTCAGTGTACATAGAGAAAAATAAAATACATTCATCAAGAATCATAAGATACAACACTTACTGATAGTCATAGGTTACTATAAGCAATCAAATCATACTACGAAACAAATAAAACATTATAAATTGTAAAGGTAAAGCAACATGGTTATAGTCATAACCATGGGAAGAATGGGTACTAGGTGGGAAGAAATAGGTACTAGGAAGGATGATAAGAATAATAGTAATACAATCTTAGTAAATAATTTGACAGGGTTATGGGAATTATCGGTAGTTGTTTAGCAGAGTGATGGCATTTGGGAAAAAACTGTCCTTGTATCTAGTTGTTCTGGTGTCCAGTGCCCTATAATGTCATTTTGAGGGTAGGATATTATTAACCAGTATTAAGTATATGTGCTGTCCAACTCTCATCGACTCTGAGCAGCTGAGAGTTGGACATAAGTAATTACATAACCTACACCAGTATTTCTCAACCTTAGCAACCTTAGGACATATGGATTTCAACTCCCAGAATTCCCCATCCAACATGCTGGCTGGACAATACTGGGAGTTGCAGTCCACCCATCCTAAAATTATCATGGTTGAGAAATGCCGCTCTACACGCAGAGAGTAAAATTCAATATTCTTGTCAAGAAAACTTCATGGACCTGATCCTAAGATCTTCAAGGAACTGAGCTTAATTTAAGGATGATTTTAACATCATCTATTCAATAGGTATATTTGTGTGTTTTTTTTTCCCTTCCAGATTTACACCATGAGTTATCCAGGATACCCACCTGCAAGCGGATATCCTCCTGCGGGTGGTTATCCACCAGCTAGCGCATATCCACCTGCTGCTCCAGGTAAGTTTTTTTTTTTTTTAACGTAAGATCTGGTTGTTAGAACAGTTTGGTGGCAATTGACCTGTAAAAAAAGAGGGAGTAATGGGTACAGAAAAGATATGATTGAATGTCATCAGTAGCACTACGGATTCCCAAAGAGGAGGCAGCACATTCCAGAGAGGAGCACAAGATAAGAGACTGCACAGTCCTGAACTGAATGGGGAAGAGAGGAAAAGGTTCAGGGTAGCCACACTCTAGAATCTCCCAGATTCTAGGGAATGTAGAGTATTAAGTTTTTGAAGGTTATAGCTTTAGTCTGGCAAGATTCTGACTATTAGGTCTAAGCCAGGGGTGTCAAACTTGCATCATCATGGTGGCATCACATGACGTATCATGACTGTTTTCCCCCTTCATTAAATCGGGCATGGGCGTGGCCAGCGTGTGACACATCCAGCCTACAGGCCGCAAGTTTGACAACCCTCATTTAAGCAAATGAAGAACTGGATTCAATTGGATCTTATTGTCACCTTTTGGCTTAGGAAAAAGGAAAAAAAATACCGAATAACAAGAGTTGGAAGGCACCTCAGAGGTCTTCTAGTCCAACCGCCTGCTCAAGCAGGAGACTCTGTATCATTTCAGACAAGTGGCTGTACAATTTTCTTAAAAACCAATGAGGGAGCACCCACAACTTCTTAAGAGAGAAAGCCTGAAAGAATCCTCTTCCTTCAAGAATTTAGTACCATGCATTTCTTTGCTAAGAATACTACTGTATTCTATAAGTTGCTATTTTAGTTATAGATGCTTAACAGTTGAGAACAGTCAACAAATATCTTGCTACATGTGTGCGATGGCCTCTTTCTTTTTCTTGCAATCAATTGTTTCTTGTTGAGGATGATAGAGCTTAGTCTGCTGATTATCCTGGAGCATCTCTGGCTCTAGTTATTTATCTAGTTCAGGGGTCGGCAACCTTGAACACTCAAAGAGCCATTTGGACCCGTTTCCCACAGAAAAGAAAACACCGGGAGTCACAAAATATCCTTTTGATATCTAAAATGAAGAGAACACTGGATATATCGTGTTTTACCTTTACCTTTATCTTTTCTTTTCTTGGATTTATCCATGGTTGGCCTACTGGGGGTTGAAAAGCTCAGTAAATCGTGTGCCAGCGAGTGTTGCACATTGGCGGTTGTGATACATTTTTTGAGCGACAGGGAGCTGCAGCAGAGGGATGAAAGAGCCACATGCGGCTCCAGAGCTGCAAGTTGCCGTCCCCTGATCTACTTAGAATCAAGATCAGGACAGAGACTAAATAATTAGAGAAGAAGGACAATATCTGGTTTCATCAACAGGTAGCAAAACAGCTGTTTGGGCTAGCATCGTTTCAGTGACTAGTCCTGAACTAATATTCAGCTAGGTTGTCTGTTTTTACTCATTTGTGGTGCTTTAACTTCCAGGCAGTAATCCCTGGGGTGCCCCCAGCTACCCTTCTGCAAACCCTCCTCCAATTGGATTAGAAAATATTGGGACCTACGCCAATCAGTTTAATCAGGATTATATGGCAGGCATGGTGAGTAACTCCAGTTTGAAGCTAAAGCGTCTTAGCTTTTCATCTGAAGCAAATTGTGGGAATTGTGACCCCTAGTTTTGCCCTCTGTTTTTTGCCTATCATCTTAATGGAGTTAGACAACCTTTAAATCTAATTAAGTAGGAGTAATGGGTTTAGATCCTGGAATTTGGCCATTATTAGGGCTATTATATCTGGGTTGTAACTGGAAAACTTGTTGCCGAACACTTAAGGGAGATTTTAAGATTATTAATGTCCCTTGGGACGATGCCAAAGATGCTATGAATGATTGAAACCACTTGAAAAACACTTGCTGCCCTGTGCTCAGGACCTGATGATAATGATGATGATGATGATGAACCCAGATACTATCTAGTTGTCTACCTGGGTTAGACAACTAGATAGTAATCAAGAAGTTCAGAAAATGTTTTTTCTTACCATCTGAGAGTTGCTTGCAACTTTGCAATTGATATTATGACAGTGCTATCATCATCATTTAAATTTATTGGCCAGCCAATTCTGTGTTATTATGTCTTTCCTCTAGAAGCTCATATATCTGTATGTGTATACACACACACACACACACACACACAATATCTATCTATCTATCTATCTATCTATCTATCTATCTATCTATCTATCTATCTATCTATCTATCTATGAGACTCCTTTCATGTTATCCTCCCACCAACAACCCCTTCACGTTGTTTGAGGTGGGAGGGACAGGCCCAACCCAAGTCACCCAGTGAGCTTCCATCATTGAGGATGGGCTGAGTTGGCCCCAGTTCTAGTCCAGCATTTTAACAGCTGGTCAGGCTTGTGTGGAGATCCCAAAGATGCTTTTTCAAAAGGCAACTGGACTTTCATTGTTTTTTTCTTTTCCTTGAAGACCCAAAGGGTCAAGAGGCATCTGGACTTTCTGGTTTTTCTTTGAAGACGTTTCGCTTCTCATCCAAAAAGCTTCTTCAGCTGTGACTGGATGGTGGAGAATTGAAGGATTTATACTCCTTGCAAACAGCTGGTCATTTGCATTCTTTTAGAGACCATTGAGGCCACTTCGTGGTTTGTCTGTGTCCTCAGGGTCACCTGAGTGATGCAAATGGATGTGGAGCAGTGGTGGATTGCCCCCGGTTCATACCAGTTCTATAGAACTGGTAGTAAAACCAGCAGGAGGCTCCGCCCACCAACCCCGACGTCATCAGAACGCTTCTGCACATGCACAGAAGCTTCTGCGCATGTGCGCGGCCCCGTTGCGAACTGGTAGTAAAGGTAAGTAGAACCTGGTGTAGAGCCTTCTTGGAACTGCTGAAAGGACCAATGTTGTAGACTAGAGATGTCGTATCCCTCCCTTTCTGTTCATTTTTGATCTAAATTGCCTCTTTCACCATTCAGTCAGAGCTGAAGAAACTTCTTGGATGTTAGTGTCTTCAAAGAAAAAAACAAAAACAAAGAAAGTCCAGTTGCCTCTTGAAAAAGCACCTTTGGGACAACCATGACCTGGATGACTGAGAATAATCTCCATAGATATTTTCCTTGAAGACATTTTGCTTGTCATCCAAGAAGCTTTTTCAATGAGAACTGAAGAAACTTCTTGGATAAGAAGCGAAATGTCTTCAAGGGGGAAAAAAAACCTCAAGAAAGGTCCAGTTGCATTTGAAAAAGCATCTTTGGGACAACCATGACCTGGATGACTGAGAATCTCCATAGATGCATAGACTCCAGGCAGTTACTCAATGCAATACAATCAAGAGAAATGAAGCCATTCATCTCCTTCCTTTCCTCCCTCTTTCCTACTACATGTAGACAATGTTGTCCTCTTTACAGCACGGTTGAGAAGAAGTTTGCTGGCATGTTGTTGTGTTGCAAACAGCATTCGGTCTTTGAATACCTGGTGGTGTTTTTTCTTTCAGGCTTCCAATATGTCTGGAACGTTTGGTGGTGCCAATGTGCCACAGGGAATGTATCCTTCAGCTCCTGGGGGCTACCCTTCTGCAGCTCCAGGAGGGTTCGGACAACCACCACCACAGGGTCAGCAGCCTTATGGGATCTACCCTCCACCTCCTGGAGGAAACCCCCCAACAGGGATGCCATCATATCCATCATACCCAGGTGGTCCGATGCCACCTGCCGCAGCCCAGCAGCCTCAACCAGTGCCATATCCTGGACAGCAGCCCATGCCAAGTTATCCATCCGTTCCAGCTGTTAATCCTTCGATGCCATCCTACCCAGGTTCTTCCATGCCCACCGTCACCCCTGGAGTAGTAAGGACCTTTTTCTCTATATATTTTGGCATTCTTCTTTTAGTTGGAAGGGGAAAGAGGGCGGATGCGTCATAGACTTTGTAGTTTCTGAGAACATGTTGTTGTTAGTAGCAAAGTCGTGTCCGACCCATCGCGATCCCATGGACAACGTTCCTCCAGGCCTTCCTGTTCTCTACCATCCCCTGGAGTCTATTTAAGCTCACGACAACTGCTTCAGTGACTCCATCCAGCCACCTCATTCTCTGCCATCCCCTTCTTCTTTTGCCCTCAATCGTTCCCAGCATTAGGCTCTTCTCCAGTGAGTCCTTCCTTCTCATTAGGTGGCCAAAGGATTTGAGTTTCATCTTCAGGATCTGGCCTTCTAAAGAGCAGTCAGGGTTGATCTCCTCTAGGACTGACCGGTTTGATTGCCTTGCAGTCCAGCATCACAGTTCAAAGGCCTCAGTTCTTTGGTGCTCAGCGTTCCTTATGGTCCAACTTTCACAGCCATACATTGCAACTGGGAAAACCATAGCCTTGACTAGATGCATTTTGGTTGGCAGGGTGATGTCTCTGCTTTTTAGTGAGAACTATTTACTGAGAACATGAGTCCCTGTCAAATATTTGTGATGTGAAAGGGACCCCTTTGATAGAGCGATGAAAGTCTTAAGTGTGGCGTGCAAAGTGGAGGTGGCGTATTTTTCTGTTGTCTCTTCACCTCATCCCTTGCAAGGACTTTCTCTTTTGCATGATTTCAAGGGATGGAGGTTCTCACACCTTGTGCTCCTGAACTTCTGTCCTGATCTGGGAAACTTTGCTGGAAGGAATCTTAACAGTTTCCTTACAAGGCAAAGATTTGAATTCTGAAGATAAATCCAGGATAAATTCTTGGGGAATTTCTTGGATCTCCCAGGAGTTTTTGTGACTACTTGCCTCTGTGAGTTTACCTGTCATAGGTGGTCAGTATTTTCAGGAGTTTGAATTTTATTGAATTAAACCATTTATTGAACTACCCATTTGTTTAACAACTTACTGTATTTTTGGGGGTATAAGACGCACTTTTTTCCCTCCTAAAAGAGGCTGAAAATTTGGATGCATCTTATACTCCATATGTAACCCCGCCCACCCACCAGCCCCCACCCTTCGGCCTCCACACGTCCTCTTCCTGGCTGCAGAGATTGCCACCCACAATGTCTTGTATTTTGGGGCTCAAGGCATCACATTTTCAACCTCCAAACACTCTGTTTGTGAGCCCCTCAAGGTTGCAGGGATCGCCAAAGGACATCGCTGCCAATCACCGCCCGAAAACACGATGCATTTAGAGGCTGAAAACGCAACATGTGGTGCCCAAAATGGCTACCCAGAACAGCTGCTGCTTTCTCTTACCTCTTCCGCACTTCGCCTGCTTTAGTCACTGGAGCTGCCTCCGATGATCAGCTGTGCTTTTGAAGCTGTTTTCAGCCTCAGCGCAAGCGAAGCAATCTTCCATGCTTTGCCTGCTTTTCTAATTGCTGCTCCCTCCGACAATCAGCTGTGCTTTAGAAGCTGTTTTTTAGCCCCAATCAGCCCCAACCTCAAAACCAGCGAGCAAACTAATGTGCTGAAGCTGACCAGGCTAAGGACGCTAGCCAGATGAATACCTGGTAGGCAGCATTTTTTTCCCGTGTTTTCCTCCCCAAAAACTAAGGTGCGTCTTATACTCCGGTGCGTCTCATACTCCAAAAAATACGGTATATAGGGTCCACAGCCCTCCCAGTTCAAACTTCAGATTCATATCACCACAAGGAAAAAAGATGAGTCACCCATTTTAACTGGAGTTGTTTTTCCTTGAAGACATTTCGCTTCTTATCCAAGAAGCTTCTTCAGTTCTGGTGAGATGAGTCATCTGACAATTTTATAGCTGATTAAGATCTTTCATGTCTGCATTGGAAGAAGTAAAGATTTTGGGCCAGGAAAATTATTTGTGTGTGTGTGTGTGTGTGTGTGTGTGTGTGTAGTCTTCATTTACTGATTACCTCATTTAGCAACCAGTTGCAGTTACAAAAATGTTGAACAAAGAACCTTGTGACCAATCCTGATGGCAGCTGATGCCATTTGCTTTAATGTTCAGTCTTGACCATTCAGTTTTTCTCAAAACTTCTTGACAAATGGATAGCCGTATCAATTAATAAACTTAGAGGGGGCAGAGAATGAGTTTGTTGTTAATAGTTTTACATGGTGCTGAAAATACTGTATATCCTTTTTATGCTTTTCTTCTTGTATGTCACATTGGGATATTTTAGTTGCAGCACGGGGTGATTCCCAACCTGTGTTGGAAATCACCCCATATGCATGTGTTCTTGCATATCTAAAATGTTGAGTTGGTCAAACTTTTGGGCTTATCTCTTGCTTTTATCTTATGATAAAGATCAGAGAACTGTACAAGGGATCAACTAGCTCCGTGATGGCGAACCTATGGCACGCGTGCCCAAAGTGGCACACGAAGCCATGTTGCCCGGCACGCACGGCCTTGCCTGTTTGTCTTTTGGTTTCTGGCGCACATGTGCGCATGACGATCAGCTGTCCTTCGCACATGTGGCAGTCCTGAAAACTGGTGTGCACATGTGCACCAGCCAACTGATTGTTATGCGTGCCAGAACCCAGAAGTTCAGCTTTTCCAGAGCGCAATCCCTTTGCACATGCGGCAGTGCCGAAAACCGGTGTGCGCATGCGCACCGCCCAGCTGATTGTTGGGCACAATTGCGCATTAGAACCTGGAAGTTTGGCTTTTGCAGAGCGCGGCCTGCGCTCATGCAACATTTTCGTGCGACAAGGTTCGCCATCACTGAACTAGCTGGTCACAATAAGCCTACAGAATACAGAATAACAGTCCTGAACTGAATGGGGAAGAGAGGAAAAGGTTGAGGATAATCACACTCTAGAATCTCCCAGGTTCTAGGGAATGTGGAGTAGTAAGTTTGAAGGTTATAGCTTTAGTCTGGCAAGATTCTGTCTATTAGAACTAAGCAAATGAAGAACTAGACTCGATTGGATCTTATTGTCATCTTTTGGCTTAGGCCTGACAAAAAAAATTATAGAACAACAGAGTTGGAAGTGACCTTGGAGGTCTTCTAGTCCAACCAATGAGCTGAGGTGGCGCAGTGGTTAGAGTGCAGTACTGCAGCTAGTTCAGCTGACTGCTAGTTCAGCAGATCAGCGGATCAAATCTCACCGGCTCAAGGTTGGCTCAGCCTTCCATCCCTCCGAAGTGGGTAAAATGAGGACCCAGATTGTTAGGGGGCAAAATGCTATTTAGTATACTGTCTTTGATGTAAGCCGCCCAGAGTCCTCGGAGAGTGGGCGGCATAGAAATATGACAAACAAACAAATAAATAAACAAACAAACAAACAAATAAATAATACCCCCCCCCCTGCTCAAGCAGGAAACCCTATCCCATTCCAGACAAATTGCTGTCCAATCTCTTCTTAAAAACTCCAGTGATGGAGCACCTACAACTTCTGAAGGAGAGCTGGTCCTCTGATTAATTGTTCTCATTGTCATGACATTTCTCCTTAGTTCTAGGTTGGATCTCTCCTTGATTAGTTTCCATCCATTGCTTCTTGTCCTGCCTTCAGGTGCTTTGGAAAATAGGTTGACCCCCTTTTCTCTGTGACAACCCCCCAAATATTGGAAGACTGCTACCATGTCACCAGTGGTCCTGTCTTCATCTATCTTTAGTTCCTCAAGTGTATGATTAATTAATATTTGATGCCTTGAATAACAAGATATCTTTTAATTGTCAAAAATTGGTTATGGAATGAGAAACATTTGTTCATCCTTGCATTACTACAGTCTGGAAAGCGAGGCACGGTCCATGACGCTCCATCCTTTGATCCTTTGAGGGACGCAGAAGTGTTGAGGAAAGCCATGAAAGGCTTTGGTGAGTAATCCATGTCTGGCCTCTTTTCTTCTAATTATGGAGGGCCAGCACTGTCCACTCTTGGTTTCTCCAACTGGTACATTTGGATGAAGCTTAAGAACTAAATATTTTATATCTCTGTTTAGGAACTGATGAACAGGCCATCATCGACTGCCTTGGAAGTCGCTCAAGCAAGCAACGACAGCAGATAATGCTCTCATTCAAAACAGCTTATGGGAAGGTGAGAACCATAATAATGATACTTATCATTATTGTACTGCACGTTTTCCTACTTAGGGCCAGTATCTGCACCCTGCTAGGTACCAGCATCTAGTCAGCTTTGCCCAACCTTGAAAACTTAAGCATTCAGATATGGTTAGAATATGAAATATAGCTATAAAGATTGGCAGAGAAGAAGGAGAGAGCAGCTAGGGCCCAAGTGAAGCAAGCAATCTAGTCTCTACAGCTGACCTTTTGCTTGGTTGAGAACCTGTAGGTGGTGTAGAAGGTGTCATCCAGTTTGCTGAAAGGGACATCCAGTGGTGGACATCTTATCCAGTGGTGGGTTTCACATTTTGTTACTAACGGTTCGCATGCACGCCTGCCTTCCGTGCATGCACATGGCCTTCCACGTGTGCCTTCCGCACATGTGCCCGGCCTCAAAAACGTGTCTAAATAGGATGGGATAGAGCCAGGGTGGGTGGGTGAGCCCACTTGCAATTTCAGCTACCGGTTAGCCCGAACTGGTCCGAACCGGCTGAATACCATCTCTGATCTTATCCCTCTGTTGAAACAAGGCCACGCGCTAACAATGGTCTACCAAGTCACATTTTCAGTTTTGTTTGGGATGTTTAAAGAGCCGTGGTGGGGCAGTGGTTAGAATGCAGGCTAATTCTGCTGACTGCCAGGGGTTCGATCCTGACCGGCTCAAGGTTGACTCAGCCTTCCATTTTTCTGAAGTCAGTAAAATGTGGACCCAGAATGTTGGGGGCAAAATGCTGACTCTGTAAAACCTCTTAGAGAGTGCTGTAAAAGCACTACGGAGTAGTATATAAGTCTAAGTGCTATTGCTATTGCTATTAAGGTCATGAAGGACTTACCTTACTACTGTTGTGGGCATGTGAACTCAAAAGATGTACATCAAGTGGTTTAGGCAATTTCAGAAGGTCCCAAGAAACATAATGATTTAACACATCACAGAGGCTAATTGATAACTGTCACCAAGATACTGCCATACTACTCATATTAGTAGTCAAAGTAGAATCTCTATTAACAAGTGGAACAGTAAGGAACAAGAACTTCCCTTCTCCATCCTTATCCACTTTTCTACGCAGGTCCTGCCCATCGTCTTGAGAAATGAGCTGATGTAGATAGTTTGGTACCCAGCCCATAAAAGTTTCCCACTTCCCATGTGGCTCAATTCACAAACCCTGCTCACAGCCAGACAAGAAGCAACAGGAGAGGGAGGGAGGATATGGGTTGGATTGCAAGGGAGGGGGTAATGGAATGCAAGAGTACTAACTCTGCGGAGAGACATACCAGCGTGCCAAGGTCACCTGCTGGGAAAGTCCATCAGAGTCTGTTCTCCAAACAAACTGAACATAATTGGCTGGACGGAATAAACTGACAATGGGAGAGCTATTTGTGCGTGAAAATGTTAGAATTGGCTTCGCTACTTACGTATCCAAGGCAGCTCAGTAAATTATACTCTTGGTAACAAAAATATGGCCCAGGAGTCTTTATTTGCTGCATGCATTGAGTGGGATGGTTGACAACTCTGTTGTGTAGAACTCTTCTCTCTGACCTTTTATATCACTGAAACATAATTATTTGCCATAGAAATGGAAACATTTAGAGTTTACTTCTGCTAAATGTCATTTTGGTACAGTTCCAAACCACGCTTTTTTCTCTATTTTTGAACTGATTAAAAATTAGGATTTGATCAAGGACCTGAAGTCAGAGCTCTCCGGAAACTTTGAGAAGACGATTTTGGCAATGATGAAAACACCTGTCCTGTTTGATGTTCTGGAAATCAAAGAAGCTATCAAGGTTTGTATTTAAAAGAAAGTGATCCCTCTATCAACGTGTTGTCTGTTTCAATGTTCATTTTGTCTTTCTTTCCTGTCTTCTTCCAAACTTACCCTCAAAATAATATTTTTCACTTCGCTTTTTCTGCTGACTATCAGCAGAAAGGCCTTGCCTTCAGTCATGGTTTGGCTTAGATTCTCTACATCTGTCACACAGCCCTTTCAGGTTATTGGAAGTATTGTATAAATGAGGGCAAACAAATTGAATCATAGTTTAGAATTTGAAATGCCCTATGTCAGTTAAGAAATGCCCCATCACAAATACAAAACTACCGTTTTGAATGCAAAGTGGAGTGTTTTGAATTCACTAAGACTTGGTCTCATCTGTTTTGTGCATTCCTAAGGTGTCTGTGTAGATTATAGATGATGATAGAGATAGATAGATGATGGATAGATGGATAGATAGATAGATAGATAGATAGATAGATAGATAGATAGTATAGATGATAGATTAAATAGATAGATAGATTAGATAAATAGATGATAGATGATAGATAGATAGATAGATAGATAGATAGATAGATAGATAGATAAATAGATAGATAGATGATAGATAGATAGATAGATAGATAGATAGATAGATAGATATGGATGGATGGATGGATGGATGGATGGATGGATGAACGGACAGATGAGAGAGAGATAGGCAGGCAGGCAGATAGAGATAGATGGTAGGTAGGTAGGTGGGTGGGTAGATTAAATATAGATAGATAGACGGACAGAGACAGAGAGACAGACAGACAGACAGACAGGTAGATGAGAGAGAAATCGCAGGCAGACAGATAGAGATTTTATTTGTTTGTTTGTTTGTTTGTTTGTTTGTTTGTTTGTTTATTGTTCAACTTGTATGCCGCCTTTCTCCGAAGACTCAAGGTGATTTACAATGCATTTAAAAACCATATATAAAAACATTAAAAATTAAAACATTAAAAACAATTAAAACCCATTCACACCATTCATGGCCGGATCTCACCAGATCGCAACAGCGAGATCAACGGCCCCAGGCCTGCCGGAAAAGCCAGGTCTTCACCGCTTTTCGGAAGGCCAATAGGGTGGGGATGGTCCGGATCTCAGGAGGTAACTGGTTTCAGAGAGCTGGGGCAGCCACAGAGAAGGCCCTCTCCCGCGGGCCCACCAGCCAGCACTGTTTAGCTGATGGGACCTGGAGGAGACCAACTCTGTGGGATCTTACCGGTCGCTGGGAGCTATGCGGTAGAAGGCGGTCTCGAAGATAACCTGGCTCTGAGCCAGGTAGGGCTTTAAACACCTTCAATTGTGACTGGAGACCAATAGGGAGCCAGTGCAGCTCGCGGAGAATTGGTGTAATGTGGGTGTACCTAGGTGCACCCACGACAGCTTGCGCGGCTGCATTCTGGACCAACTGTAGTCTCCGAACACTTTTCAAGGGTAGCTCCATGATAGATGATAGATGATATAGATAGATAGATAGATAGATAGATAGATAGATAGATAGATAGATATGATTTAAGAACTGCAGCAATTCACTTAACAAAAGTGTCACAAAAAGTCATAAAAAGGGGGCAAAAAGTAACTTAATAAATGTCTCACTTAGCAACACGAATTTGGGGCCCTATTGTGGTCGTAAGTTGAGGGCTCCCTGACTTATGGAGAAAATCTCCTGCATAATAACGAGACGAGGCTTTCTCCCTTTACTCAGGGTGCTGGCACAGACGAAGCCTGCTTGATTGAGATCCTGGCATCTCGCGATAACAGGCACGTTCAGGAAATCAGCCGAGCATACAAGACAGGTGAGTTTTATCGCTTAGAATCAGCCCTGATCTGATCTCCAGCAGAGAGGCTGGTATGCTGAGGACTGAAAAACTGAGTTGTGGTCATGGGTCTCGTATTCTTCTGGAGATAGGGTGCTGGGTTATGGTGCCACGACAAAGTTGTCCAATTTTTTTTGCTGGTTTGATTTATTGGCGAGGGCCAAGATGCAGAATTTGAGTTTACCCTGCAGACAGTGGTGGGATTCAGCCGGTTCGGGCCGATTCAGGTGAACCGGTAGTTAAATTGCTGTCTGGCCCTGCCCCGCCCTTCCTGCCCTGTCCTTTCCAGGAGTCTCCACGTGCCCCATTTTGGCTCCCAGATAAGTGCAGGGAGGCATCCTTGGCCCAAGATGGAGCGCGGGGGGCGATGCCCCCCCACAGCCCATTTTTGCTCCCAGAAGGCTTCAGGGAGGCTTCATAGGCCCATTTTCGCTTCCCAGGAGGCTACAGGGAGGCTTAAGCCCAAAACAGGGCAAAGGGGTGTGTGGCGCGCCCCCGTGCCCCCCCCCGTGGCCCGTTTTTTTTCCCATGGTGATGCAGGGAGGCCTACTAGGCTCAAAACGGGGCACGGGGGGTGGCACATCACCCCCTGGGGCCCGTTTTGGCTCCCATGGGGGTACAAGAGGCCGAGTGCTGCCTGTCACATGCCCTGGCCATGCCTACCCAGCCGGTCATTAGGGCAGAGAACCGGTTGTTAAATTATTTTAATCCCACCACTGCCCGCAGATATTCCCATTCTGCTAGGTTGCTGTGGATAGAAGGGGCAGCCAGGCATGGCCAATAACTTGGGGAAAAGCCCAAGAGAAAGGAAGGACCGAGTTTTCCATCCCTCCATAGGACGAAGGGGAAAACAAAATCAGGTTGGGTTTTAAGGACAGAAAAAAGGGCAATTCTGCATCTGTTGAAGTCCATCTGGATAATGTGTCCATAGGAAGCACAATCCAGTGGTTAAAGCACCCAAACGGAGAGATGGTAGGCTGAAAGCGGGTGGGCCAGTCAAGGTCTCTCAGCCCTAGGAAAGAGACAATGACAAACGACTTCTGAGAAACCTTGCCAAGGGACATGCTCAGCCAGTCCCTGACAGTCAACTTCCACCCTGTTTACCTAGTGGTCCCATTTCCCCCCCTAGTTTTATTACTCCTAATGCTTTAATTCTCAATGCTGAATGTTGTTTTATGTGGCACTTTTATGATGTGGGCTGCCCAGAGTCACTCAACAGAGGAAGGAAGGAAGGAAGGAAGGAAGGAAGGAAGGAAGGAAGGAAGGAAGGAAGGAAGGAAGGAGGGA